TCTCCCGTGCTCCTCAGCTTTATGGTAGGAAGGGTGGAGACTGGGGAGAAGACGGTCGTGGTGCTCGATATTTAACCATTTCACCCCTCGGGGACGTCGCTACCCGAGCTCGGCCTTCCTGCCTAAAGCACATAAACCAACACGTTGCCGTGGACACCTGCTCTCAAGAATACGCGACTTTAGCCTATCACATGGCCTATTCTCTTCTCCCCATTAAAAAAAAGATCAATAGCAATGCAATAAAGCAGTTACAACTCCCTGCAAGCAGTGGAAACTGTCCCCTTCCTAATTTAATTCTCAGAAAAGGTTTTTACTGGGTCAACAGCAGCAAATAGGTGAAAGTGGGGTGAAAGACATAAAACGTGACCCGTGAAGTTCCCTTTTAAAGCCTCAATAATTTGAAACAGCAATAGTCACTGAACATTAAAATGTATGTTATTAACCATGACAGCTGAAAAGTAATGAAATTTCTAATACTTATGCTAATCTCTCAACAATTATTTTTGTATAAATTGGTTCAATGGCTTGATTATTTCCAATGTTTATTCTCAAAAAGAAGAGGGTGTTTAATTTTAAATAAAAAAATCACTGAGCATTTTTTCCAACACCTTATTGAAAGAGCACCTCTGAAAAATAATTAGCTTAAAAATGTTTATCATAATATAATAAATAATAATATTTTATAAAGGGATAAAAGTTCACCTGTTTACCAGCCTTCAAATATATGAAAATATCTAATATTAGAGTTAAATCCAAAACACATTTGGCATGTTGTTGCTTACGGCAGGAGTGTGATTTTCAGACCAATGGAAGGAAATCACTCGGCGAAGTCCATACCGCTGCCTAACCGGCAGCTAATGTCAGATTAGTGCTTTGAAGTTGGAGCAGATCCGCTGGCTCCCGTCTCACTACCACAAAAAAGGAGCCGAGTGGTTCTGTTTTAATGCCTATTCATTTAGGTCAGCGCTCAATTGAAGAAGAAACTTTTGAACCCTGAACAATCAATGCTTGGGTTTCTCACCACTATCACCTCACAGAGAGAAAAAGCCTTTGTATTTGTCGTTTGAGTACCAACCACGACAAGCGGGATAGCTATGGATTCCACTGAGCCTCCAATAGCAACCGGCCCTCTGGAATCAACTCGAGACAATTAAGCGATATATCGCATATTATTGTATGCGTTTTGATTAAGGTTTCTTGTACAATTCTTTACTTCTGCCTTCCGTTGCGCTCAAGGAACGGACCAAATTATAAGATAACTCTTAATGTGCAAGGAGGTAGATGATGGGTATTGTTTTAGTGTTCCTGTCCTCTCCACAGGCAGAGACACCAGGCATGAATAATTGCTGTCTTCTCTGCAGTGGGCCCGTTTTCTGCGGCAATATCAGGCTACGGGGGCCGGGGGTGGCCACACGAATGCTGATTATGAGAAGCGAATAGTAAATATTTGAAAACAGCAAAGAAACCCTTGTGCACGGATTCAACCCTTCCAGCTTCACAAGGTCAAAGCACATTTGCAAGCCATGAAAGAGCATTTGGCAAATTCTAGACACCGCAGTGGTGGATACATGTAGGGGGGGGGGGCTGATGACATTGCATAGACCTCTGATACTTAGTGAAAGAGTTATTATAGCCATTAAGGCTGGCTGGGCTATTGCAGTGTGTGTGTGTGTGTGTGTGTGCGTGTGTGTGTTGGGCATACCTGCCAGCACTTCATTAATAAAGTGAATCCCAGACTGCAGCTACATCAGTCCTGGCGTTATCCAATATGAAGGGGAAACAGAGGAATATCTCGCACACTACACCCGAAAGGTCGTCAACAGTTAAGTGTTGAAGGCATGGATTGTTGTCGAACTGTAATTACCATTAGAGCCGCTGAGTCTATAGTATGAGGTATTTATCCACTAATGTTTCTGCGAGCATGAATAAAGCTCCCATTGGGGTATTTCCACTAATACTTATTGCCAAAATCAGTTTAAAGTCCTATCTTATAAGTCCTATCATATAAATACTGCCACATTTCATATCCCACCAATGCTTTTGTGTAGATAGAAAAATATGAAATCCTGCCCTGAGAGGAACTGTACAGCTGTGCACAGGGGGATACAAATGTTTTCAGTCATTGCTTTCTAGTAATGCCGTTTCATTGTCACTCCTAGATTGTGCAGAACAATCTTATATATAGCCTAATAATCCATATCATAACCTGTGTCCCTCAAACCCCAGTAAGCTCTCCAGTAACACGCCAATACCGATCTGGTCACCGTCTAACATAACGGCAGCTCCATTTCAACTCTGGTCTTAGCTGTGAAATTCTAGGAAACAGAAGCAAAAGTGATACATTCGGCGTCAGCGAACACGCATGCGGGTGAGAGAGATTTAGTCATCAGAGGGTGAACATGTTCGCTCTGAGCAAATGTCAATGTACCGCCAATTTGTCATGACTGTGCGGTACGGGTGGATGGTGTCCGTGCTGTCGGCAGCTGTTCTTTTGGGAGTGAAATCGAGGCTTCGGCACACATAGAATATCCGCAGTGGAACATTTTTGTTTTTAACTTACATGGCTTACTGCGTTCCCAGCAGATTGCGTGTAATGCCAGCTACGGAATATCTGCATTCTTTGTGATTTCTTCCCCCGTTTAATTATTTCACATGAATTCAGCTAAAGGTTCCAGTGACAGCGTGCGACGGTCAGGTGGCTGCATCCATACAAAAAGAAACTTGCATCTTTTTTGGGGGGTTCTACATTGACAGGGGGGTATTTGTCATACTGTAATCTAAAATTGCCATTTTCAATAGTTGATGTAGTTCCTGGGATAATTTCCGCCCTTGCAGTACAATAAAATCACTACTAACACACAAAGCAACACTCACGGTGTGACTTTTGCAGAATTATTACAGATCCTGTATGTGCAGGCTTATATGGTTTGCCAAATTACTAGGATCACAAATGAACATAGCTGATGAGGTTTCACCATTCAATGCAAAATAAACTACATCTACAGTCCGTCCTGTGACGAGATCTGATCCTCGTTATTTCTCTCCTTTCAATAGCAACTGCTTAAAACTCCTCTGCTTCTCTGATCTTCTCCCAGACAGTTTCTGGTGGGAAGAAGTCGCATCCTCAGTTGTCACGATTGTGTGTTGATGAAGAGCAAGGGAGGAAGAATGCAAAGGCTGGCGCATGAAAGACGGCAGAAGAGAGAAACGTGCCCCTAAAAGAGCTCATCAGACATATAATATGCTAATGTTCAGCATACAGTGCTGCAGCGCTGAACCTACACTGTGTATTTCATCCGCCCCGGGGAAGGCAACTTTATTAAAGACAGTGCAGCTCAACAGTTGTTTGCTTTCATCCAAAAACCTGTGAAAAGACCTGGTAATGAATCAAGTAGACACATGAAAGCAGATATTGTAGTATCCTGTGACTGGGGACACGGGGGAAGGAGTCTGATATTTAGATTCCCTGAAGATACCGTAAGGGGCTCGACTCGTCTTGTGTCTCTGCACTACACAAACAGACATCACAGAACAACAGCCGAAGAGGAATATCCAACAAGACGTAGCGAGACGTCAGGCAGGGAGAGAAGAAATGGTTGATAGACAAGTGAAACTAAAGCTGTGAGGGAAAGCAAAGCAGCAGAGGCAAGGCGGAAAGGGAAAAGGGGATATCATGTCTTGTAGGGGACTTCAAAAGTAATTCAGATGAAGAATGAAGTGGCATGAATCAAAAAGAATGATGCCGCGTGAGAGAACTGCAGAAAAAATGCAGAGAATTTAGGACAGAGAAGAAATCACGTCTGAGTCTCAAACAGTTATTCAATTTACACTGAATTGTATTTGGGGCTGAATCGTTGTGTTTTGGAGAAATAATACATGTCACTTGACTCCAGATTATCCTAAAATGTCAAGTTATGACTGCAGGGCCCTTTTGACCATCTCAGTGACCTACACTGAGAGGAAGGGAGAGACTTCCTCTAAACTGTCCCTCTGCTGCGTTGGCAGCATTGTGGAGCTCCCTTAAATTGTTCCTTTTTATCACTTCAGGTCAGCAGTATTTCTATCCCTGTCGAGGACATCTTTCTGGAGACGACCAGCGGGCTCCTGGGTTGCGGCCATCACAGGCGCGAGTGACATTCTGCCGTGGCCTCGGAGGGCTCGTGCACACAATGGGCTATTCGGCGGCGTGTCCCTAACCTCGTCCAAGACGCGGCCGACATTCCTCTGGGGGCACATTGTGTGTCGCTGGCATCCCTGCGTATGCTACAATAGCTTTAGCTGCTTCCTCAGCCAAGAGGTGACATTTAACCCCCAAGGAGGCAGTTTTTTGTGGCCAAGGGGCAACGTACCAGGAATATTTTTTGCCTCTCTCATTTCATTTTCGTTTATGTAGAAATTATATTATAATGCGTTGAGGTTTGCATCACACAGAACACCAACGAGTAGTACAATGCCAACATGGTGGCGTTATGTCTATTAGGAGTCCTGATGATGACCCCGGTGGTCAGACATTTTCAGTTGGTCATTTGAGCCACAGCAGTAGTGAAGTCTTAAAAATGCCGAGGGAACAGTAGATTGTGCATTTCAACAGCTCAACTCTTTGTGAATGCAATGACCAAGTGCGTCTAAGAGACTTTGAGAACTATGAATAACGCTCGTAAATAAAAAAACACACCAAACCGAGACGTTTCAATAGACGCGCTCGATGTCACCGCCCATTAAAAAGACGCACCGGTTACGTTTATAACCCCGGAGGGAGATGAAACAAAAAAAGCTAGATTGGAAAATAAATCCTTCCCAGGAAGAATGTTTAGCATCAGATATTTTCCAGATGTCAGCGTCTCGGCGTCTTGGCCTGTCAACATGAGGCATGAACACCGACGCTTCAGGCGGAGCAATAGCTGAGGGAGAGGTGGCGGGATAGAAGAGACATAAAATGAAGAGGGAATATAGAGCGGCATGCCGAGGTGGCCGCGGAGACTCGCGGGGCGGTACTGTACCTCTGCTGTCAGTGACTGTGCGGTCTGAGGCGCGGGTGGGATCTGGAGGGATGGAATGCAGGGGGGGAGTGGTGGATGGAGGCAGGGTTGTGGGGGGGTCTGGTGGAGGGAGGCGGAGGAGGAGGGGGTCGACAGACACATATATACAAAACAATACAACAACAAAAAAATGAATTCACATGAGGGGTTAGTCATACATTTTGAAACGCAATGGTCACGACATCGTACAGCGAGGGGAAACAAAAAGGCATGATCATGGCACAGTGCAAAAAGCATAAACAAAAATAAGCTACAATGAGATGCTGTTGATGCAAGCCGCTGCACCGCTTATGTACCGCTCTCACAAGAAGGGGACGGGCGTAAGGTCAGAGTGACCTTGGCCTCTGACCGACGTAAATGGATCGGCTCATCTTTACGTCCACGTCGATTAGCTCAGATTTATAGAGATTCCATCCAGGATTTTCTGTGATATCACATTCACAAGAATGGCAAAGGCGTGGAAGGACCATCGCCAGAATCATAACGCCTGAGGCCTGTGCGGCGATGAATGACGGAAAGGAATATTTGGAGTACCACACCTCTGGATTTTTATCATCATTGTGATTTGAATATGAGGGTAATCTCCGTAACATAGGAACAGGATTAACCTTGACTCTGCTAGTGTTGGTTTTTGTCTTTGAGGAACGATCCCACACTGGGAGTGTGCAGTATTTGCAAGGATCATTTGAGGAGAGGGCAGCCAAGGCGTCACTGTCATTCTATTTTATTTTTTTAATTTGTCACTACAGCACAATACAAGCGGTGTTTTCTCCAGAGCCGTGTTTGTCCCCGTCACATGTTAAAGCAACAGGAGAAATGGCACCGAGACATTCTGTGACAAAGTTAATGACGTTACAATACCACCTCGGCTTTTATGTTTGTGTCCCTCTGCTTTTCATGGCCAGCTTGAGGCTCTTAATTGGCAGCGGTACTCTTTCTCAGGGCCAACTGTCCTCAGTGTCTCGGTGACATTTCAGCCTTAGCGGGAATCACGAAGCAGCTAAGTGCATGTCTCTTGGAAAAAAAAAAAGAGTAGAGAAAAAACGTCTCCTCATTGGAAGGTAACTATTAAAAAGGTATTTTCAAAGAATTATGGCAGCAATTGTGAAAGGCTAAAAGGTGTGGTAATCACTAATGAAGCGTAGGAACAGACTGTGTGCCATTTCAACAGGACCCTCCCACATCCCATTGCCTTTTTGCAGAATATAATTCATCATTTCAATTAAGTGCGCTGGTTATTGTTGTTACATTCAGCTGAAATATGAAGGAATTGTTATATGCGGAAGGTTTTAAATTAAACATTCAAGGTGTTAAGTGATAAAGGTAAGCCAAATCAACATGCTGGATTAGGATTTGTTTTCTTTAAACTCTGGTAATCAGATCCACACATGGAAAGGCAATCTTCTGATCTGTAGGTTCATTCTGCCTAGAAACCCACAGATCTTTTTGTTTCAATACATCCTTCATGAAAGATTTGACTTTAAAAAATAAGGTCTTACCCAGTGAATATAAATATTGGTAGTCAATTTCTAACATTGCGTTTGTCTTTTCACAGAAGCATTTGGATGAGTGTGAAAAACAAAATATAGTGTGATGAGATGAAGCTAAAGTTGTAAAAGGTTTCTTTTTGATCTTGAATTTACCTTCTTTTAATTTTGCATGCTGAAGATAAAGTTCTACGCCATTAAAAATTCCTTCTTTTAGAGGATGTGATTATATTTCTCTGACATTTAAATCCTTTCTTCCGTACGGGGATCTACTAGAGCGCTTTACTGTCAATGCCTTTAATTTGGTGAATGCCGTGGCCAAGTCAAGTTCTCATTTCTTCATTTTGTAAATGACCGCCTCATTTAGAGTAAATTAGAGAATAAATCAGCTTTGGCTTTAGAGCATCGCCACCATGGCAACCTATCAATCAGAGTGGAGGCGTATCAATGTGTATCCCTCTCTAACTCAAGCCGCTCGGCCAAACATGGTCAATTCTGGCTCAAAAGAACCCGGTGGCGATGGCTAAAACGTGAGACTTGAAGCCTAAAAACGATAGTCAACAAACAAATCGGCAGTGTCACGGTGGCTCCATCCTCTTTTTTTTATGCAGGCTATGCATATTACATGATATTTCACCCGGAGGAATACCTGACAAGTCTTCGAAACACTTGCGAAAAGTGATGCAGAGAGAGACTCAAAAGCACATCCAAGACTGGGATCATTTTTTCCTAAAACGGTCATTCAAATTGAAAACTAAGAAAATGAATATGTAGGAGAGAATGGTTGTCGAGATGCTGAAAGCAATGATTGTCTGTCCTGCAGAGAGTTGTAGGTAAATACGCACTCTAAATGGCACTAAAATCTTGTAGCGTAAACTCAACATTAGTCCCCTCCTCTATTATCTCCCCTTTTAGTTAGTTACAACTGAACAAATAGCACATAAGAAGGACAATCTAGAAGTTACTGGAAAAGACAGCTTTCTCTCCTATTAGTCTGATTAGATCTGCTTTTAAATCAGAGAGCAAATGAAACACCCCCTAAGTGCTTGTCACGATTAATGTAATATTCTATTGATCCAAAATGTATTCTGCTTCCAGTCCTATGAAGTCTCTGGCCAAAAACTACCAGCATTTTCATCCTAAGTCATTGCCAAAGCCAACGGTGAAACAGTGACGTAACGGCTCTCCTTATTTTTAAATATTATTCCGTAATGCCAGGAGACAAATGGCACTGGATAAACAGAAGTGAGGATGAGCTATCTGTTTTTCCCTGAGTCCCTTTATCCCCCACCTCCTCTGGCATTACTAGGCATTACTTATCCTTCCTGGTGAAATTCCTGACAACGCAGCACTAAATTGTGCCACCCTCACACATTTCCCTGCTGTGTGCATGTGTGTGTTTGTGTGTAGGATCTGGGACGCAGGTTTATTTAAGGAAAGGCGTTGGTGGCATTTGTGTCACCCAAGGCCCTTATTCTCCCTGTGAGAGATGGCACCACTAATGACTCCGGGCACTGATATAGTATGCAGATCAGGATGTATTATAATCCTGGGTTCTTTCTGCAATGGATTTTGGAGCGAGTGCCTGTGAGGTTCATACTTTCCCCCCCCTTTTTTGTGGCATTATCGGAGTTCAACGCATCCTGCATTGCAGCTTTTTTTCCCTCTTGCAGTTTCTCTACCTTTGGAAACGAAACACTACCCACGTCAGCCTTTCCGTTTAACTCACCATAGACGTAGAGCACGTATTCAGCACTACTGGTCCCTAAGTGGTTGCCGGCTTCACAGCGGTAGGTGCCATTGTCCGTCTTGTTGAGTGAAGTAAAGGTGAGCTCCCTCCCCTCTACAATCATCCTGTCCAGGTCAGGAAGTTCACCCCCGTCCTTTGTCCACATAACAGGATCGGGCCTGGGAGGTCAGATGATGAAAGAGAAGAGGTGTGATTTATTTTCTGAAGCGTCATCTAACAGGGTGACATAAACCATTACAGAATTTGAGTGACTTACGAAGGGTTTCCTTTGGACACGCATTCCAGCTTTAAGTACTGACCCTCCTGGGGGACAGCGAGGGAGTGGACGATCTGCACACGAGGAGCATCTAGGAACGACGGAATGCATGTACATAAAAAATATTGAGCTTAACATCCCGTAATGGACTTAATGTTGTGATTAAATGATTAACACAAATATTCAAAATCAAATGTTTACAATATGTCATTACAAGAACACTGTCCTGATAGAAACCCAGCACGTGGACTTCTCTATAAATGATACATTATTAACCTTTCTTTCCCATCCAACAGGATTCTGCAGCTGTAAAAGCATTCTTGGTAACTTCCTCTTTAATGTATTTCCTCTTCCGTACGCTCCATGTGTGTGTGTGTGTGTGTGTGTGTGTGTGTGTGTGTGTGAGTGTGTGCATGTCTCAGTCTGTGCACTCACAGTGGACCTCCAGTACTTCGGTAGCTTGCTGTGGTGTCTGTGCGAGGGCCACATGGTCCACTTTGCAGGTGTAGGCCACTCCATCATCATTTCTGTCCACGTGCAGCTGCAGAGAGCTCCGTACTGTAAATGTCTTCCCGCTTGCATTCACCTCTTTGGCACCTTTGGAGAAAAGTTGCATACTATCACAGATGCAGCACATTTATCTTGCAAGGTGTGAGGGCTTCGCATTAATGTGACTCCCCTGTGCACAACATGCCCTGCTTTACCACCACAGCCCGACCCAACAAGGCCTACCCATGTAGACAGGGGCCTATCATGTGACGCTAAATGGATTTCTCACAGTATCTTTATACCTACATCTATGGCTTCATCACAGTTAATGAAGTTATAGTGAATTTGTGAGGAATTGTGCAGAAACAGAAAATACTTAGCACAAAATAATAGAGTTTAAAACAAACAAACAAACAATCTCACATCCCAATACTCCCTGGGTGTTGCTTTGGCATCTCTACGACACAAAACCCATTCTATGCTCAAACCCACTTGCCTCACTTGTAGCCAGAGGCTCTTTGAATGTAATGTGTATATTTAGATCGTAGGCCTTTTTAACTAACATCTTTGCCAGGTGCTTCCTGCGCTTCATTGCTCCTGCAAAATGCCTTAATCTCACCTAACACTGTCACTTTCCTCTTCCTCCAACCCATCCACCGGACAACCACCCCTACTGGGACCGAAACATTACCAGGGGCCAATCAGCTCTTTGACAATAACTCTCGCCTTGTTACAAAGAATCATTACACACAGTCTTCTCCATGTGGACAGCTTGCTTTCAGAGCTGTCCAGACCACACCCGCCGCGTAACACCATCCAAACAGCTGGGTTAGCTCAATGAGTTCATGTCCATTAGCGGCCCAATCTTTGCCAAGGCATCGGAGGAATCCTCCAACTCAGCTTACTAAAATGGTCTACATGATGTCGGGAAATTTGGCTCGCTTCTTGAGCACATCATTCCTTTTTATTTCCACATTTGCCATTCCCAATGAAATGGGCCTTAGATAATCCTAATGTTTAAGAATGTTCCACGACCAACCCTCATGACAGCGATCTTTGACCACCGCATTAACGTTGTCATAATTTTATTGGCTCGCAATGAATCATCATTCCTGAAAGCAGCGATGCTGAGCAAGAAGAGAGGTGCATTTAACAAGAAGGTCCACTAGTTGACTCCCGCTGATTTCTACCCTCCACACCTGACTGTCCTTGAGCTCAGCAGCCCGTACCTGGTCTCAGGTGCTACGTGCTCAGTCTAAATGACCAGAATTGAAACACCAAACAGAAAGACAGTGGACTAATATCCTCTACTTACCCCTGAAGACCTCCTTAATGCTTGCTGTTGATCACCTTCCCAGTTGTTAAAAACAAGAATAACCCCGTAGATGTGAAATTTTCTCCTAAATTCAGAACCGCTAAGGAGATGTTGTGTAATACAAATGACCATCCTGCTGCAGACCACACACATGCCAACTCCCACAACTCTCCACCGCTGGATCTGTTTTTATGTACTAGGAATGATAATTAAATTGGTAATATGTGACCAGCCCAAGCAGGTATTTTTAACAGTTGTCCTCTGAGGCTGGTTGGTCTGCTCAGATCATCCAGCAGCCACCATTTTAAACCATCTCAAGCGTTCATTCATACTCCTTTAGGATTTTTTTTTTCATAATAGGAACAAAAATACTGTGATACTGCATTCAGATGTCCAGGCTTATTGCCTCATTCAGGTGTTGCCCTACTTTGTAAAATGTCCCTTTGTACTCATCATAAAAAAATAAGTCTCTCTCTCTCTCTCTCTCTCTCATGCTGGCCGTCTTTGTTTGTATTTACGCTCCATATCCTTCTCTGCTATGCACTCATCTGCTCCACTTTCCAAGCATTCTACCCCACTGTCTCCTTTCCCTCTCCATTCTGCCAATCAACCATTCTCCTCAGCCCCCCCCCCCCACCACCCCGCTCCTCAACCGATGCAATGAGCCCGCCTCCCCAAGAGATGAATGACTGACAGGTCTGCAGTGCTGGCAACATTCGCCCAGACAACAAAAGAGAGGGGTACTTTCTGGATTTTCAAATCTCTAGATGCTGTAACACTCTCCCGTTCTCAGACTATTCCTATCAGCTATACCACGTCCTCATAGACTGCTTCTTCCTGCCCTTTTGTCTTTCCATCAGCTCAACTTGTCTTGTTCTGTCTGCAGAAGGTTCCTCACACAGATGGACTGTAATCTTATTTACCTAAAGTTTCAAATTCCTTTATATTTTTGTATGAAAAATTGAAAAAGTATGTAATGACTTTGATACTTAAACTCAATAGATAATCCTGAAATTGGATAAAACCCCACCCCCCAAAAATTAAAAATAAATTCCTCTATTTATTATTGCAGCACGGCATTCATCAAAATAACACAGGATTATTTCTAAAAGTTAATTTATAGTATGTTTTATTCAATCTTTTGAATCTTTTTTACATTCTTAAAAGTCTCTGTAAGATTCAGGAATGCAATACTACAGAATGTGCTTTATTGGAGTTCAATAAAATCATTTTTTGGTCCAAGGCTTTTTAGATCCACTTTGAGAACCGAACAACAGTTGTCTAACAGCAATTAACACTTTGTTAAAATGTGTCAATCTGCATGCACTCAGGGCTTCTGCACGGTTGTGTGTGCGGGCGGGACTGTGTGTGCATATGGCCCTGATAGAAGGTACACTATAATTGGTCTATAAATATCTTATCACATTTTAGCTGCAGCTGAAATGAGCAGCTGACATCGTGCTGCCATTACAGGTCATGGTTGTCAATCAAAAAATATATTTTGAAGTGAATTTGATTGTTGGAAACATACTAATCATATTTTGATAAATACCGGTGTTACTTTTAGCAAAAAAGTATTCTCCTTTTGATACACACTGTAGTTTTTTACAGAATTCTTTCAACAATAAAATATTCTTTCTATATAATTTAAAACAAATCTGACATCCCATTTATACAACGTCAAGATTTGTAGTATTCAAATTCCTCTAAAACTTTAGAGGAAACATTTTGTATTTTAGTATCTTCATTATTTAGAAAAGACAAAATGCAAGGCCAAATCCCGGTGTATTGTAAATATTCAAATATACACAATGTACACCATGTTCACCTGTGGGACCTTCCATCAACAAAAAACCTGCCAGCATTTGGCTGCTCACAGCTCTGCATTGTTGGTGCGAGCCATGACATTGCCTTGAAGGATTAGAAATGAAAATGACAGCCGTAAAAGTGTGACCCTTTCATGCCATTTGGTAAGAGAGCGACGACCCAGGAAAAGAGGACGCGGGACGGAGAGAAGAGAGACGGAAGCGGACGGCTGGCGCGGCGGATCTGTTATCAACAACAGCGACGCAGCTGACTAATCCTGGCAGCGGCGTTCCACGGCTGACTCAATATACTGCAGCCCATCTGAGATTTAAAACAATTTGCCTGTGAAATCGCCTCTGGGTGTTGGTGAGGACGAGCAAAATATATGACGCTCTAAAATTATTTATCAAAATATTAAGATTGCATTAGAATCTACAATGCAAAAAAAAGAAGAAGCTGCACGGCCATAGATGTGGCTTAATACTGAAACAAGTGCACTAATGAACAGCTGGCTCCAGCTCCAGCGCCGTCCACCATCTTCTCACATATCCTGGGTACCCTGCAGCGTTACGGAGCTGCCGTACTAGTTTGACCCTGCACTTAACTGACGGCTGACTACGACCAGGCAGACACTGTCGAGTTTCTATGCTATCAGTGCCTGGCAGAGCCGCCACAATGTCTTTTCTGACATGGAACTCTCAGAGCATTTACAGCTAAGAAATGTCTGCTGTGGATCCTGGAGACAGGTTTTCTACAGCCCCTCAAAGGGAGAGGTCTGATAGGTCTTGGTGCCTTGGCATTTAAAACTGGACAGGTGCTCCACCTCCAGGATGTTGCTCTTAATGAACAGAGACAGCGGGGGCAGCGGTATGATCTTATCTTCTTTGGCCACGGCGCTCCAGTCAAACTCCGTTAACCCGCTCACACACTTTCATGATGCCAGAGAAAGAGAATGAATTAGGTGCACCTCCACCTCGGCATATTAAATCAAGGTGAATCAAAAAGAAAGAAAGAAAGTGGAGGTAGTGCGTGGAACACTGATGATATGTTTGCTCTCCATTTTGTGGTCGATAAGTTTGAGGGTTAAAGTTGCTGCTCCAGCGAGATGTAAAAAAACTTTCCTTCACTTCAGCCCAAAGCCTTGATGTTCATTGACACACCAACAATCTTGTGCGACACATGTATAGAGAATGTAGAGGGTGAATATGTGTGTTTGAGTGTGTGTGACATCTTTTATTCATGCCACTGTGAATGCAGGAGCCATCTTGAAATTACAACTTTAATGGTCATTGATCCACCCCCCAACCCCCCAGGGGGGCGGGATGGTAGAAACGCAGTCCCAACACAGACTTTTAAAGCAGTGTGCGGCGTTGTCGAACACTGATGAAACGACGGAAAAATATATTCCGCTTTTAAGTGGATACGGCTTTAAATTCCCGAAACTTAATTCTTATTTTAGTGCTCTCAATGTCAGCGGCGGTCTCCTCAACTTCAACATCCTCGTCTTTGAAATGAGCTGCAGGAGCTGTTGCCTTTCACTCTCCCCGCTAGTTCTTTCCAGAGCAAACCTTAGAATAATGATCGCCAACTCATTCCGTTCCCACTTAAAGTAGTCAAGGGCAATTACCCACAAATGAAGAAATAGCCGGCACAATTTGAAAAGGTTGTTCAGTCACTATTCAACTCCCTTCAGAGTGCAGGCAGACTTGAGTGACAGCAGACAGTGACCTGAAAATAGCGCGCGTTACGTCGGCAGTAATAGTTCCTTGTCCTTGACTAACAACGCAATAGGGACGTGGCCGGCGGCGGATTCGAATCAGCTCTTTGTGTTTTCTTCCCTAAGCCCCGACGGAATTGAGTTAACGCGCAACATGATGAAGCAATAACCTCCACAGTTTAGGTCAGGGAGTACGATGGCACTAGTCCGATAGCGAACATCCCCCACCCTTATTTGAAATAAATATTCATTTCATCTCTGCCTTGCTCGGCCCCCACACAGCTCCCTCCGGTTCAGCGGTGTGTAAACAAGTGCTACATGTGGTGATATTGGCAAAGGTCTCTCTGGGTTACGCCGCGTAACTGAGATAGAAATATATCATTACTGGGTGGGGTCTGAGGGGATCTGGGGGACAAAGAGAAAGGCTGAGAAATAAGAATATTGGATCCTCTCACACAAGCGTATGTCCTCCATCTGTCTGTTTTGCTCCCACGCACACAGACACACACACACACACACACACACACACGCGCGCGCTTAGCGTAAGGTGTCCGTTAACTGCATGCGAACGGGTGATGGACTGCTCCGGCGGCTCCGCCAGTAATATAATCTTCTCTATTTCCCCCGATCCCACACCAATATGTCACAATTGTCATGTATTCCTAGCAGTGGCCGCCCACAAATCAGATGTTTCTTTCCACGTTGAACACACCCCGATCCTGTCAGGATGATGCTACACCTACACGGTCATACCTGCAATGTGTGTTAACCTGCTTTGCTCTTTGTGTTTGCATTCTTCCGTGTGTATTTATGTTGTCTTGCTGTTTTAAATGTGGAGGAAAAAGCTGGAGAGTGGCAGGCACACAAATGGGATGTGTGCAACAGGTCACACTGCCTGGGTCCTGCTGACCGTTCACGTCTTCCTTTCAATGCAAAAAAACTTTTTAGCGTGTGGCAAGAAGAACAGCATCAGTAAATGAGTTAATCACAATCCTTCCCTGAAATAAATACGTCCTGATTGTGTCTGACAAATACATCACACTGATTGACGAGCTGCAAATTAAAAACAAACACTACCTGTCAGGAGAGGCAGTGTATTAATCACGGGATCAATGTGTCCTTCACCTTGGAAATCAATCATTTATATGGGGTAATAAAAAAGATAATGGTGACACGGTTAACCACCAAGGTTTGATGAGAGATTTGATTTAAGGTGATCATTTTGCTGTTAAGAGTACGATTGGGATTTTGTTTTTGTTTTTCTTCTTTTGTCTTTTCTTTTAGCTCAGAGGAGCAAACTGACTCGATGTGTTGAGACAGATTCAATATTATCCCCCAACTACAGTTAATCAAATGGAAAGACACCATGATATCTGCTTGAAACTGTGCAAAACCTGCACTGAATTGGGCGTATCTGTTCAGTTCTGGTGAACCGTAACGTGAGAAAAAGGGTGCAATGGCACAGACCAACACACCTTTTCAGTGAATTCAGTGAGGGGCAACACTCTAAAAACAGATAACAGATAATCTGACTAGAATCTTCTAATCAGACATTCGTGTGAAATATCATTGTTTTCGGGACAAACATGATGAGACAAATTACATTACATTCAGAAAACTTCATAACTATTTTCAACAATGTTAAATTCTATAAAGAAAATGCAAAGAGTAAAATTTAGAAGGGAAACACCTGAACATTTTATTTGTGTCCTTTCTGGGCAAAGAAGAAGAAGAGCCACAACAACGACAACCGTGTCACAGTGAATTATATATTGTTATGAGATTTCACACAACCCAAATGAAAGGGAGCAGTGTGCCAAGTAGAGGAGAATATCTGACCTTAATGAGTCAGAGTATCCCTTGAGACTACCTTCACTTCAAACCACCAAGGATATCTCGGACTATCTTGGAACTTTCTGTGGCAAATTAAAAGAATATGAAGTCCTGTCTATGTTTCCGTGTGCCTCACAGGGAGCAGTTCTCCCATTAACAAGCCACTGAGAGGAGACACAATCACCCGTAGAGACACAATAACCCCGTGAGGAAAAAACACCCAGTCGGCTAATTAGTGTACGTATTCCTCTATAGGCTCCCTCTTGTTGCTTTCATTCAAAAGCAACAAGGAACCTTAAAGTGGAGTGATAAAGTATTACAATACAAGAGGAAAACATGGTGATTAGTAAAACAGCCAATGTTGACTCAGGAACATCAAATAATGAGTTGAATATTAAGATAATTGTTTATACAACATAAAAGTGTGAGCACTGTTGTAGAGGTTCAATCATTCCATTTCACAATATGGACCAACACTATATTACAATTAATTAAATGTGATCCTTCCTGTTCTGCATGTAATTGGTCATTTACACCTGGATGCTTGTTATTGTCACCTCTGATTTCTGTGATCTTTGGGGTTACTAATAGACTTTGACAGTGCTTTTCCAAACCAATATTGTTTATGGCAGCTCTAATACAGAAAAATAAATGATCTGTGGTTTGAATGGCTTTGCTCACACATGCAGTGATTTAAATTAGAAACGGTGATTTGCATTTTGTTATCCGACTTCAATCTATTTTGTGAAACAGCATAAAGCTCTTTGTAAAAAAAAAAGTTCTGCTACTGTGTTGATGATCTGTGACAGTCTGCCCCACTGGGTTTTGCATTTTATTTGATACAAAACCACATCTGTTTCTCTGTTCCTCAAAGAGCTCATCTCGTCATTTCATGTCCCTATCTCACTTTCCCTCATTGTCTCCCGTTCAAACACGGCAACGCCTTGCTTCATCGAGTAGAACAGAGCAGGGGCCGGAGGGAAATGAGGTGTGGTTTTCCACTCGGTCAGATTTAGAGCTGCCCTCTGATTACGAGGAAGGTTAATGTATCAGTCTCAGGTCGAAGGAAACTCACTGAATTCGCTCAATTAGAAACAACTTGTTTGGAAAAATACTACATTGTTGAGAGATCCGCTGCAGCAGGTTCATGGAACCAGTTCTATAAGAAAAGACTTTCAACGTATTCAAAAAGGCAAATTCACATTTTGTTCTTTGTGTTGGTCTAAGCTATGCTGAAGTTTGATAATCAATATTTTTTGTGTTTTACAACATAATGGAGATTGTGCGCCTGATGGACTGTTTGAAGTTAAATCCTTAAATAATGTTTTATTTTATGCCCATCAGCAACAGAGAATCTTTGTCTTTTTAAAACTACAATAACTAACTTAATGAGGAAATTCTCAATTTATAAAACCTCATGATTTATAATAACTAAGGAGAAACCCATGACTGAATCTGTCTGTCTGTGACATTTAATTCTTAGTCAACTAACAGCCAAGTTATTCAACATGAAACAAAAGCTTTAAACGAAACAACTTAGAAATCTTACTTGACGAAAAAACAAGACTGTTGACTAGTTTAAGAAACTGTCGACTAGGAGAGCGCTGATGACATGACCTATGATTACGTGTACCCAAAGTAGTGACGCACATGTAAATGCGGGCACAAGAGTTGCATACCTTTCACCTCCTTTTCATTTCTGAACCAGCGCAGGTCGGCAGCGGGCTTGCTGCCCTGAGTCATGCAGGTCAGAGTGATGTCGTCGCCCTCCAACGCCGGCTTCGTCAGGCCATCGATCTCTGGCTTCTCTGGCACACCTGACGGATGGAAAGGGGAAATTACAGCGACGGAATGCACACAGCGCTGCGTCATTATGCAACAATAACATCGTTATGCCTTGTTGTAAATTCTCCTCCAGCTCGCTCGCTCCTCCGGGAACATTTGAGATCAGATTACAGAGCAGCGTCCTGCCCGATAATTCTCCGGGTGGGATTCTTTTCCGAGGTGCACTGGAATGTCTTCAAGGGTCAGTTCATCCAAATGACAAGGAAGCATATTTGTTCACAAACCTTTCGTTGTATCAACCAATGCGAAGGAGATTAAATCAGGGGAATGATTTAATCTCTGATTTACTCTGAATTTTGCGCTCAAAGCAGACCAGATTGCATTGATTTTCTGCAAAAAATTCCATTAGGCACTGCTGGTATCAAGTCTTGTAGATTTTCTTTGGCCAGCTTGTGAAACATTTGTTTCTGCCTGAGCGCAATTACGATACAGCGGAAAGAGTTTTGCTTGGGATGGTCTTATGAGAAGATTTTGACTCTAAATATAGCACCTATAAAACTGTCAAATATCCAGCAAAGTAGCACAAGGTGTAAGTTAAAAAACAATAAATATATAAATATATATATATATATTTATTTTTTGTATATATGTGTTTGAGTGTGTGTTTGTGTGTTTAAATGTGAGTAAGCAAAGGCCTGTGGTCACAGAGGGGACCACCAGGTTGTACACAAAATGGTAATTACTGGCTTCTCCTATAATGAGTGTTTTAAGTGTGCAGTGGCTGCCCTTCTAATGTCAATGAGAAATCAGTCCGCCTCAGGCTGAGGGGCTGAAAGGTCTGTCAGTCAATGCCATTGACTGACTGTGGCCTTGTCCGTCTCACCACCTCCAGTGAGGTTTATTACCACACTCTTGTTTTCTCTTTACCATTCGCTGGAGGGAAAAACCTGCAGCGCGGCAAATACAGTATACGGTGGCACCTTACCCTCCTCAACTGAGTAAATCCTGCTCTCTTCTTCTACGTTTGTTGTATTCAGAGGTTTTGAAGGGTGTGAAGCGTCTCTATATCTAACTAAGATCTGTGCTGCATTTATTGAGTAATTGTGGCTTTACTCAGAGACTGAACTAGAATAGATGGAATACATTGTTCATTTTATACCGTCACGTTCCCCTTGGATGGTTCGAGGCTGCTAATCCTTCTCTCTGTTTGCGTATGTGTGTGTGTGTGTGTGTGCGTGTGTGTGTGCATGCGCCTGTGTCAATGTCAAAGATTGAGGGGGCGTTGGCTTTCTTTGCTCATTTGTGCATTAAACATAAAGTACGGAGAGGTAATTTTTTAAAGAAAATATTTAGAACCAAAATCAAAGTAAGCTAAATTTACTCCTAAGAAAAATAACTTGGGGCCTAAGTCAGTCATGTCGCCGTACGAGCTGCATGGCAACGCCGCCTGGCAGTCGATCCAACATTTTGGTGCGGAAATACCTAGAAGTTCATGACTCCCCGATGGAGGAATTCTAACGACTTTGTTGATTCCCTGACTTTTACAAGTTCCACGTCTCACTAACTGCACATGTTAATGTTCCCCTCAGGATTAAGTGCAATCATTTTGGCAACCCCTTAGAGGAGCAATATATGACACTTGGAGATTAATATTGCGGCGAACTATTTCCTGTGTAAGGCTACAGAGTAGTAACACTTGAGCAGAGATGGAAGTCGCTCTGCTTCTTTGTGTGCTGCAATCACATCTTCTCCTTGCTTAGTTTATAGCGTTTTAGCATAGTGCATGTTCGTGCATGTGAGCGCTTGTCCCTGCTCTCATATCACGTTAACTACTGATAAAGCCCTGCACGATGACATCATTGTGGAGGCAAAGCAACGGCCCCCCTCAGTTAAAAGCGCTGCCTCATTAGTCGCGTTACACAGTTTTTCCTACCCAACAATTCACATTTCATTGTTTCCCACTTCAAATCATGTAATGTATTTTTGATCTTTTTTAAAAATTGTTTCAAAAATTCTGCGTGCAAATAGTTATAAACAACTTCATATTTTTTCATAAATGTATGTTGAAAAGATCTGAATTAGTGACTCGTTTTAGTTTCCAGATAATTGGAATGTTATCTAATCGTCGTTCCCAGCACACTGGCAGATAAACCAGGCCATTCACAGAGCAATTCGTATGTTTAATAAATATCCCTGTTTGCTGGCTTGCGCCATTAACTATTGTTCAGTATTGCAAAATAATTTTCTCAATATCCTCGTTGAGCCGTAGCATTTAATGTCTGTAATTCTCTGAATGCTTGTTAACACAGAGAGCGTGCTAATGGTCCTAGAGTGCACTAGGACATCTATTAACATTAGCGAAAACTAATTGGCAAGATAATAAGCCCAGTGGCAGGAAATGAGACAATGTTGGTGAGGGGCGATGATTGCAACATGAACGTCACCACAGGGCCCAATAGTACGTTTTTATCATCCGCAGAAATATTGCACTAGAATGTCCCATGAGTTTTTCCAAATAGACTAAATTCCCAAGAAGTTATCGCAGCCGCAAGAAATGTCAATAAGTAAGTGAAAAGTGAATTCAACATGAACACGAAGGAGGAATGAAATAGTGTTTCTGATGTGAAATGGGTACCTACCTAGAACTGTCAGGTAGGCTTTGGCTGTTCTGACGGGCATGGTGAACAGAGAGCAGGTGTACATGCCGTCATCCGTCAGCGTGACGTCGTTGATGCTGATGGTCAACTCCGACCACGACGCGTGCACCAGTTCAATCCTGTTGTCCCTTAGAGCTGGACAGAGAGACAGACAGAGACACAGAGTGAGTTATTAAACAGGGAAAAAACAATAGAAACGTTGATGTCTGTTCGCTACATCGTATGTCTACGGTCACAAGGTTAAATAGACAGAGAGACGGGGTGAATATGACACATTGATAAGGGGAACAGCATGCACCAGCAAAACCATGAAATGTGAAAGGGGACATGTGGGTGGATGTGAGGAAATGCACCAACCATCAAAATATAACTGAAATGTGACATAGGACCTGAACTTCCTGTCGAATATAATAATGTACAGGTTGATACACCTTTAGATTGTAACTCGTATCATCTTTATAGTTGTAGAAACCCTTGTAGATATTTTACTTATATGAAAATGTAATCTTCCAAAAGACATAACGGGAATGGAATCAATACTGCAATAACAGGCTGAGAAAAAGGCCAAATGAGAATTTGGCCAGATGTGAGAGTTGAAATGGATTTGCTGAAATTGGAATGACTTGTTGAAAGATACTCCATGTTCTTCAAAGGAGACTTTGTACTTCATGTCTGTGATACAATGGGAGCAAGTTTTCAAAAGTTGGTTACACCTTGAACACGACATGATTCACGCCCGCTGCATCCAAAAGGGGTTTATTGTGATATTCAAAAGAAACCACGCGAAAAGGCTCACTTCTCCTCTAAAAAGACAGTATGTGGAGAGTTCAGTGCGATATGACGTTAATCCATTCTGTGTCTGTTGGCCTTGCCGCAGATACAGAATTCATGCAGGCCTTCCTTTTGCAAGCAGAACACCTTTCTAGAAAGCGTATTTAATAAGAACAGCTCTCCATCAAAGGGACTCAGAGAACATCTCGTGCGTATGTGTGCCCGGGTTCAGCAAAAAAGATTATTAATGATTATCTTTGCACGTGTGTTTATATTTTCTTTCATATGAGGCTACATGAAAGAATACTTTTATCTTATGTTAATTTGGGTGGAAATCAAAAAAAAAGAAAAGAAGTAAAGCACCCTGGTTGTGTGGACCTCTGTCCGAAGATTTGAAGAGTAACGGCCATTAGAGAGTCTGTTTGGAGCGGCTGGCTGAATGGTGAGAAACGATACAAGAGGCATCTGAAGAACTGAAACTGTGCTTCGACATCCTCAGGATTTCAGTGAGTATCAAAAAAAGTCTTTCAAAGATTCCAAAATAATACAATTATGCAACACAGACCTCTAAAAATGACCCTTTGGGTGGTTATATAAACAGTCCATTAACTTTCAAAGTATTACAATAAATGCCATTTACCACATATCTCTGTCATACGTTTGATTGATTGAATCAATGGCAACTGCTGCATTAAATGTGTTTGCACCCACGTTCTGCTATAATGTGTCGGCCTGTAAATGTCCACAACCCTTGATGTGACTCTGAAGGAGGCGTTTGGCACATTAGCCGCTTCCCCTGTTTCGTTTTTACAGATCTCGCATTGCTGCGATGATCATGGAACTGGCGACTGTAGAAAGATGTCAGCGAGCACGCTGTCTCGTGGCGTTCGGTCGGCCCAGGGAGGGACAGCCTCGCTGTGCCGGCGCCACGCTAAACAGCGACAGTAAAAGGCAGTGGAGTCGTAATCAGTTTTGGCTAAACGACAGCTGCTCCCTCTGGTTTATTATTGCATTTGTTCTGTCCCTCACAACACGGGTTATCTCTACGGGCTGCGTGCTGAGCCTGAGCGGGCGTGACATGATGATATGAGCACATGACATATCTTTAGGCTTGGCAACGGTGACAATGCATTTGTGTGTGTGCATTCGTACGTGCACACATCACCATCAATGCAAGACCGACGAATTAGATGTAGGTTATTGCAGTCGGTCCAGTCAATGGTGAGACCTGTGTTAAGAAGATACAGTAGTTCCTTATTTGGTGTGTCGCGACCCTCAGATGCAAACCTTGCCTCATCAAAGAATGAACTAAGACGAAGAGCCGATTTCTTGAGATGATTCTAGACGGATGGGATTCTCTTTTTGCTTTCTGTCACTTTCTCTTCCTCCTCCTGCCCCCACAGACCTCATTCTGTCGACTCCACTAAGCTGTGAACGTGTACAAGTTAAACCACGCTTCTTTTCAACTGTTGTCTTATTTGCTCTGGACAAGGAAGTGTGAGCGGGCAAATGTCAGAAAGTACATCCACTGTGTCCGGCTGTAGCCATGCACCTCTTCTTTGCTTCTTCCCTCCTTCAAACAGCCCACTGTTGAGGGCAAGTGGATGGATGGAGAGTTCTTTGACTTTGTGGGCAACTTAAGATGTCACGAGACATTACATTACATCCATAATAATAACAACAATAATGATAGTTTAGTTTTCTAGATACCCAAAGACGCTTTACACAGGACAGACAGACAGAACAAAACCAGACGAGGGACCTGATTTTGAAACGTCATTTGGGTGAAGCAAACGCTTTTAATAATTCTGTAATGTCAAAACTTTCTTTCTACACCTGCATGTTTATGAACTAAGATTATAAAATGATAATCATATGGAGAGTATGATCATTTGAGTTAGAATCTGGATTTACTACTTCTTTAATGCTTTAAGTGTTCTTTTTGCAAGTTTCAGTGGTTACAGGCAAAGATGAGGATAATTTAGATGCCAAAAAGCCGGATCACCCTGATCCCCCCCCAGAAGGGTGGATTTAAAAACTAAAAAAGAATTGAAGATAGTGGGCATAACTGTGAAATAGTGATATAACAGCAAAATATGCTTAAATAAAGTCAAAATACAGAATAATTAAATCACATTAATAAAACCTTAGAAACCAGGTTTCATAGTGTTTCTGTCACACTTTAGTTAAATTGGACATGAACATTAAAATAAACTTGATTTGTTTAAAATCATTAAAACCCAGATTTAGTCATCTGTACACTTTCTACACACACACAAACACACACACACACACACACACACACACACACACACACACACACACACACACACACACACACACACATAAAAATCATGCAAATCCTCTAAGGAAAAACGTCTTTAATCCTTGTGACTTTTACTCATTTTACGGCAGGCAAAGGTTGGATATCGACGAGAGGAAAGCCTTGTTTGCGTTTCGTATGTGGATGTGCGGCGGCTGCCTGCCGTCCCTCAGACACCTTTGCTGCTGTCGGTCCTGAACGTGTTAACGGAGGGTGGTATTGGTGACAACAACAAAGAATGGCACATTTTCATTAAAGAATGTATCCACTGACTGAATTTACGCCTACATCTTTTCCTCACCTAACCTTTATCTGCATCTCTACCTGTACGTAAAAAAGAGACAGATAGTAAAGCAGCACTTGTCTGCATCAAAGTTTGATTTATTTCTGCTAGAAATGATCAATACACCCGCGACTGTTTTGTTGCTGAAGTACTGGAGTAGCGAGAGAGAGAGAGAAATGGCCTTCATACATTTGATTTCCTTTGGCAGAACAAATACACAGTACCTTGAGACGCAGGCAATTTTATGAGTTTGCTGACGCCAATGCAGATTCATATTCAGAAACCCAGCGGACGCAGGAAGATCCCCCGTCTTATTTTGAAGGCTGATGACCCATCGGCTCGGAGGCCGCGCTGAGCTTCCCCTGAACAAAGCCATGACCGATAGGATAACGACTATAGCGCCAAAGTTTCAAGGCTCCCTTTTCCCAAAACGGCGAATCGAGAAAGGGACAGAAACAGAGAGACGAAGGGTAATCTTCAAAAAAAACTGTAAAGGATGAGAAGAAGGATGAGAAGACACATCTTTGAAAAGGTGAGAAGGAGAGAGAGTGCCAAAAAAAAGAACATATGTTGTGTTTATTTTAAATCAAAGTGACATTTTATATTCTGGGAGAATATTTGAGACGTTGAATAGTCAAAGTGTGATGTTACATTTGATCATTGGACCATTAATGAGTAAAAGTTTAATCAAATAAAACAAGCACGTCGTGAAATTTCCACCAAACTATTTCTTCTCGCCTTGGGCTCAGCAACTTCTTTTCTCCAGGAAGGATGACTTCATGTCTCTCTAAACATCCTGCTTTGTACCGCAAAACCATGGCCTCACAGCTCCAGGTGATGGATGTGGATCTTGCTATCAAGATCCGAGTATGACACATCAGACGTATTGGCAAAAGTGAATGCTTAAGGATTCATTCACATCACTACACTCTATGGTGCAGGATGGAACAGGGGCCAAAAAACATGTTTAAACCTGGTTTGTGAGTCTCACAACAACAACAAAAAAAAGCTAGAGTTTCACAATACAGGAGAGGAATTGCCCTTTACATCAAAAAACAAACCAATATTTCACATTTAACCACGGAGAACTATAATTTATAATAATAATAATATATGTTATTGTTAATATCACATGACACAGCTGATGGTTTTGTAACTAAAATTGTTGAACATTACCGCGGCTTTGTGTATCCACGTTACGGTGGTGGCCCGGCGCACACGCCCACATTGGCGGCGTGTCTTGTGTTTTTTTTCCACAGCTACTCGCCATCATTAAAAGCAACGGGTGAGCGAACGAAACATGATGTGTGTGTATTAGGCATGCCATTATTGCACAGCCTCACAGAGTGCATGCATGCATAGGCAAATAGTCACCAGCCCTCATTTCACTAAGTCCTTTTATGTCCTTCACCCTCTCTCCCTTCTGACCTTTCCTCTGCCAGGCTCTCCGCCGGCCTCCCCTCTGCCTGTGCTTTCTTCTACCCAGGGCCAGTGCGTATTAGTGTACCACCTCGGCAGGTGTGCGCTCATTCAAGTGACACACATATAATGAGAAAAAGTGCACATTTCAAAATATACACATATATATTCTCCTGCCTGTGTCTGGATGTGACTGTTCTCTTTTCCTTGTCAACACCCCATCTGGAGACTCGGGATTTTCTGCGTATGTGTGTGTGTGTGTTGGGGGCAGATAAAGAGTAGGAGAGAGAGAAGCAACCGAATTCAATGTGTATTGAATAGCTTAATGTATATTCTGTA